TTATCTTATTGATTAACGGACAGTTTAATGTTACCTTAATTGTAATTTGATAATATGATTTTATCCTCATCCCAATTTCAGATATTAACAAGATTATAAATTGTTCAAATGTAACAATAAGTCAACAAGATCAACAATACAATAAAGATAATTATCAAATTGCCTTCAAATTAAATCTAATTAATCTAATATTTATAATCTCTCTATGGGGATTAGTTTAATAATTGATAATACTCAATAACAATCCGAAACAGGAAACGGAAAAGATAAACCTTAGTAGTAACAAAAACAACATTCAATTGAAAAACTTTCATTCCCTATTGATGATATTTAATGATGATCATCATAATCATCAACTCATTAATGAAATGAAATGATTAACAATCAACAACAAATTGTAATACAAAATCACTGGATGAGGAAACTTTTTGTTTTTCAAATCTCTTTGTTACTTTCAATTGTTTACAATTTACTTTGATTTGATTATGATATTTAAATGATTCAATCAATTCAGCTGATGAAATGATTACCCAATTTCCATGATATTGGTCATCATCACCCTGAGAATGAGTTTCAAAGAGGAACAAAGACCAAGAAAGAGAAAATTTTTTTTTCCAAAGGAATAAAAAAAATAACCATTACTATTATCATGGAAATGAATCTTAATGGGATCATTACTATCATGGTGATGATGGTGATGATAAATGTTATTATTATTATTGTTACAAGGACTTTGCTGTCTACAAGGAAAAGTTTACAAGATACACAGACAAACATAACGGTAAAAAATGCTAAAGTAAATATATTAACTATTATTATTTATCATCTTATCCGTTTGTGCTCAATGGGTCAAATAACTTTCACATTGAGATGGGAAAATAAAATAATATTATTTTCATGGTGAAATTGTTTTTACTGATTTTTGTTTCCTATTCCTGTTTAATTGAGAGAGAGAGAGAGAGAAAGTTAGTGAGACAGGAAGATGATGATATCTGTTAATCTAATGTCATTATAATCAAAAGAAGTGTAATAATAATAATGACAAATTTAGAGTAAAAAAATGAATGAAAATTGTGAGTAAACAAGAAGTAATTTAATTTATATTAACAGATGAATAAACAAACTGATTGATGAAATAGGAAGAAGGTGATAATCATGGTAAGGTAAAGGTAGAGACATGGGGTTGATGTGGTTGTGGTGGTGGTGGTGATGATGTAGAAATAGGAAGTGAAAAAAAGATGAAGGTGAAATAATGAGGAAAATTGTTCTTTTTTTATTAATTATTGTCGTTGAACTTAAATGATGTTAATGGATTCGGTTAATGATGAATTTGTGGATTCATATTATTACCACGATTATTCAATTTTCGGGGGTTTTTATTGATCATCTTCAAGTTTCAAGTGAATTGTTCTGATGGGTTGAATCTGGAGGGAAAGTGAAAGATTAAGAGAAACTTTTAGTTTCGAAAAGTAGAAAACGCGGGAAAAAAGTTTCGAATTCATTTAACTTTTTCCTCTCTCAATATTTTCGAGAGTCAAACTCGTGACAATTGAACATTGGGTATGCATTTATGCGTGAAGGTCAAGGGGTATTGGTCATCACTTTAGTGTGAATAATTTGATTTTGCTAATTGTTGATTATGTGATTTTGGAGTTTCATTCACCTGAATTGTTGTGATTATAACAGATTGATAGTATTATGAGTTAATTGCTTTGGTGATTATATAATTTATGATGTGTCCTTTGATTAGTCTTGCGTTGAAACGTTTTCCAAAAGGTTAATTGTGTTGATTGTCGCGATTGTGATGCTGATTATCATTTATTTTCAACTAAATTATGATCATTTTTTATATTGTCACACTTAAACAGACAAGGTAAACAATTTACCACAGAGTTTGTTTGTGGATTGAGTACAATTAATTGCTGATACATTTTTCTCGTAATTCAGATTACCCGATAGTTTAGATTGGTCTAGATTTCAGAATTTTCATCAACTAGATGAGTAGTATCATGGATTTTTACCACTTCAGCTTTCATTTTCGAAAATTAGAAGAATAAATTAAATTGAGGTAATTAAGATTGCGAAAAATATGCAGGATACAATCGATTTGCAATTAATATGAGAGAATGAAAGTGAAGATAAGGAAAAGAACATTTTTCTTCTTCGAAAATGTGAACGAAGTGGCGACTCGCTACTTCGAATTTGGTTTGAAAAAATTTTAAACTTATTCTTACTTCTTATTGATAGTCACGATTGAATTAGGCATTTGTGGATTTGAAATTCGAGACAAAAAGTTACTTTTTATTGATTATTCATTCGGCAAGAAAATCTAATTGATAAATTGATCATTGAGATGAACTTTTTACATTAGAATTTTCTTGTTATTTGTTGGATTAGTTGTGCGATCATTTTATCCGAATAACTTGAAACCACTGGTGATACCTTTTAGTCCATTTTCAGCGACTGACCCAATAGCTTTGGAAGCATCGAGCCATAACAACACCTTTGCCTCCTAAGGCGGTTGCAGCGGCATCTCCGGCAGCTTTGATAGCGTTTCCTTTCATGGCGAAACCTTGTTTGGCGGCATCGGCCACATTACCTGAAAGCTTTTCGGCTAAATTACCGGTAGAATCGATTCCAGAGGCGATAGCATTGGCACCAGAAGTTGCGAGACCACCTAAACCCTTGAGAGAGTTGTCGATTAATTTACCAGATCCATCGGCAAGATTGGAAACCAATGAGGATCCACTATTGACAAGACCTCCTAAGGCACCTAAACCAACACTTGAAAGCAACGAGCTGGCTTTTTGTCCGAATTTATTAGATGCACCAGAGATTAAACCAGCACCACTTGATGCAAGACCACCGAGAAGACCAAGTTTAGCGGCTTTCAAATCACCTGCAGCTTTAACGATTTTAGAACCGAATTTTGAACCAGTCGAGGCCATTGATCCGACACCCTTGATGGCATTACTTGTTACATCGCCAAGTTTATTTTCGGCATCTGCAGCCATACCAGCGGCAGTTTTAACTAAGCCTCCAACAACCATACCAGCGGCATTTTTGACTAGACCACCAGCAGCATCTTTTACTAAGCCACCGGCAGCATTACTGATGGTAGAGCCGAGGCCATTTGTAGCGGCGTCAACACCATTTTTAGCGGCAGAAGCGGCAGCTGAAGTAGCTTTGACCAGCCCACCAGCAGCATTACTGATGGTTAGCTGAGGCCATTCTTAGCAGCGTCAACACCATTTTTAGCGGCAGAAGTGGCAGCTGAAGTAGCGCTTGAGACAGTGTCTCCAACGGCTTTTACCGCATTCGAGGCTATTGAAAGTGGGTTGAAGCCTGAGAGCAAACCTTTTCCGTGAACATTTCCTCCAGTTAATTGTTGAAGTTGTTCATCACAAATGGCTGATGAAATTACCAACAAAAAGCAAAGAGTTGAGACTCCAATTGATTGCATGATTACGGCGATGATTAGATCAATTAAATTGAACGTCAAATAATATAATATTAATATTAGTAATTAATAATGATAATAAATCAATTCGATTTTCGATCGTTTTTATATTCATTCATCGAGTGCTCCCTTTTCTCATCAACGCTAATTTGTCTCACTTTTTGTCTTATTCTAGTCAATTAATTTCACATTTACTTCATAATTAACCATCAAAATCAGATGGCCATCATCATTATTATTTAATTGTGATCACTTTTCTACATTTTATTTTCATTCACTTTTAATTAACTTACGAACCTAATACAATACAATAGTTATTGTATCAAGTTGTATCTGTACTTAGATTTGTTTATTTTTAGATTATTAGGAATTAATATTGGAGTAAATTGATTAGTGCTCATAAGGTAATTTGAAGGTTAAACCACAATTAATAACAACCGAATCAGATTAGTTTTAATTGTTACGCTTTGACAATTTAAAAAATGTAAAACAATAGAAATGTCAATATTATCAATCCAATTCATTTCATCAAATGTGATTCATTGGTAAGACTCATCATGTTTAGTTAATTCACTCCAAGACATCACAAGACTTAAATGTAATATCAATTGAAATAATCAATTAAAAATTCATTTCCAAAAAATATCATTACATATTAATTTAAATCGTTTCTTTTGCAATCAAATTTGATTAACGATTAATGGTAATTTGAATCACTAAAATTGGCCTCTTTTTATCTTAGACAATAGACCAAAATTTAACTACGCTTAGGGAGGAGATATTCAAAACCGATTGAACAGTTCAATTAATAAACGAAGCAATCAGTCCAAAGAAAGTTAGTTGGAAAATATAATATAAAGTTATTAAAAGTTTGTTATTAATAGTTGATAGTTAAATGCTAAGGAAAGTAAAAATATCCACGATTCCAAACTCAATTCAATTGATATTACATTTAAGTCTTGTGATGTCTTGGAGTGAATTAACTAAACATGATGAGTCTTACCAATGAATCACATTTGATGAAATGAATTGGATTGATAATATTGACATTTCTATTGTTTTACATTTTTTAAATTGTCAAAGCGTAACAATTAAAACTAATCTGATTCGGTTGTTATTAATTGTGGTTTAACCTTCAAATTACCTTATGAGCACTAATCAATTTACTCCAATATTAATTCCTAATAATCTAAAAATAAACAAATCTAAGTACAGATACAACTTGATACAATAACTATTGTATTGTATTAGGTTCGTAAGTTAATTAAAAGTGAATGAAAATAAAATGTAGAAAAGTGATCACAATTAAATAATAATGATGATGGCCATCTGATTTTGATGGTTAATTATGAAGTAAATGTGAAATTAATTGACTAGAATAAGACAAAAAGTGAGACAAATTAGCGTTGATGAGAAAAGGGAGCACTCGATGAATGAATATAAAAACGATCGAAAATTGAATTGATTTATTATCATTATTAATTACTAATATTAATATTATTCGAAGTTCAATTTAATTGATCTAATCATCGCCGTAATCATGCAATCAATTGGAGTCTCAACTCTTTGCTTTTTGTTGGTAATTTCATCAGCCATTTGTGATGAACAACTTCAACAATTAACTGGAGGAAATGTTCATGGGAGACATTTTTCAATGTTCAACCCACTCTCAATGGCCTCAAGCGCTATTTCAGCTGGTGCTTCGGCTGCTGGTAATGTTGCTAACGCTGCTTCAAGTGGCCTTAAGGCTGCTGGTTCACTTAGCTCTGCCATCGGTGGTGGTGCTGGTGCTTTAGTCCAAAGTGGTGCTGGTATGGCTGCAGAGGCCGAAAATAAACTTGGCGATGCTTCCAGTAATGCCATCAAGGGTGTTGGCTCAATGGCCTCGACTGGCTCAAAATTCGGTTCTGGAATCGTTAAAGCTGCAGGTGATTTGGAAGCCACTAAACTTGGTCTTCTCGGCGGTCTTGCATCAACTGGTACTGGTTTAGTCTCTGATGTATCTAATAAATTCGGACAAAACGCCAACTCGATGCTTTCATCTATCGGTTTAGGTGCTTTAGGAGGTCTTGTAAGCGATGGTGCTTCATCCGTTGCTAATCTTGCCGATGGATCTGGTAAATTGATCGACAACTCTTTCAAGGGTTTAGGTGATCTCGCAACTTCTGGTGCCAATGCTGTTGCCTCTGGAATCGATTCTACCGGTAATTTAGCTGAAAATCTTTCCGGTAATGTGGCCGATGCCGCTAAACAAGGTTTCGCCATGAAAGGAAACGCAATAAAATCTGCTGGAGATGCCGCTGCAACAGTTTTGGGAGGCAAAGGAAAGCTCGGTGAATTCGGTCTTGGTATGGCCGGTGATGCTTCCAAATCTATTGGGTCAGTCGCTGAAAATGGACTAAAAGGTATCGCCAATGGTTTCAAGTTATTCGGATAAAATTATCAAACAACTAATCTAACAAATAACAAGAAAATTCCAATGTAAAAGTTCATCTCAATGATCAATTTATCAATTAGATTTTCTTGCCGAATGAATAATCAATAAAAAGTAACTTTTTGTCTCGAATTTCAAATCCACAAATGCCTAATTCAATCGTGACTATCAATAAGAAGTAAGAATAAGTTGAAAATGTTTTCCAAATCAAAATCGAAGTAGCGATTCGTCAGTTTGTTTACCTTTTTCATGAAGAAAAAGTAAGAGAAAAATGTTCACCCATAACTTCAGAGAACGATCCTTTTTTCACCTCAAAATGGGTGATTCAGCTGAGATAATGACTTATTCATGTATCTCTAGATGTTGTAGTTTAGAAGGTTATTAGGCCTCGAAGATCAAAGGCCGCTCTCTCAGCCCGGTAAAACTGTTGATCAAATAATGAAAAAAGTGTTCTATCCACGATGCTAACCCATACTGAGATAGTCTTAAAAATAAGTTCCAGATGATTCTCAGCACTTGGGACTAATCGCGGTGACAAAAATAGAAGACAGAATTAATTAGTTAGTGATAATAAATAACTTTTTCTCTTTTGTTGTCAAAGATTCTGTGTAAAGATAAACATAAGAAAATTACATGGAGATTTATATATTTATCATGTATATGAATACAGAGAAAAGAAAAGTTCATTGAAGCGATTCTTAGATAATCACTCGTAACCAAGGAACCAACGAATTTATCTGATAATGAATCAAGTGGATAATCATGTAAATTGTGAATAATTAACTTTACAATCAAGAGATAGAGAGATAGAGAGGGAGAGAGAAAAGAGAATGATAAAAAATGATAATGAAATAGATACAAAAACTAATTGATATTCATATGTAAAGATTGATAATCAAGGTAAAGAAAAGTTAATTTGATAATAGTAAAGGTTAAGGTCAGTTGATTAGGTTGAATATTTTTGTTTCTTTGATCAGAAAATGATTCTGTTGATAATTATCATAGATTATTCTGGATAATAATTCAGTAAGAATATCTAATTAACATGAGAAAAAGAGAGAGAGAGAGAGAAAGAGTCAATTTCCTTTTCTACTTGAGAATTTGTTAAAGGTAAAATTTCATTATCATGAGATCAGTATTCAGAAAAATTCAGGTAAAAGTCACAATCGGATGAACTTGTGATAATATATCAACAAGAGACACAGATATTCATATATTTACATGAATATATATGAATATAAACATGAAGCATTTACCTTCTGCTCTGATTTTTTTGCTCTCCACTTACCTGTAGATTGAAACTCTCTCATTTGCGTTTAGTACCTTTGGTTTTGGGCTGTAACCTTGTCTTCATCATCATTGCAATACCTTGATGAGTCCATCATCATCATCATTTAAAACAGCTGCTAATGTGTGTAGATGTTAATTGTAATAATAATCATAGTTAGAGAGAGAGAGCGAGTGAGTGAGTGTCTCATTCTCTCTCTCTCTCTCTCACTCAATCGTCTTTGATTGTAGCTCAATATATAAGATTTTGGTGCTTGTTTTTGTCTCTATCTTAAAGTTGCAGCTTCAGTGGCTTCAATCAGCATGATGGATTGTCTCAAGTACCCTGCACGCGTTCAACTCACTAATTACTTTCCCACCGACAACAAAACAAAAACAAATTACTCTCCTTATCTCTCTCTCTCTCTCTCTCTCTCTCTGTTAATCATCATCCTCATCCTCATATTCATCTTTCCCCATCATCGTAATCATATTTGTATCACTTTGATGTAAAACTTTTTGCTTCTACTTTTTTTTGTTACATTCATTGACGATGCTGATCTTGCATCTACATTACTTACCTGATATATTAATACATTAGATTGCAAATTTTACCTTTGATGCTTTGATGGTTTACCACTTTTTTTACCTTTACCTGTATATTTATTGTTATCATTTGCATTCGTAGCTATTATTATGTTTTTCCCTTGTATTGCAATTTAAATTTTACTTCATCTTTCCTACCTAAGACTTGATACTGCTGTTTAATGCTTATCATCATAATCATTAACTTCATTATGATTATTATCAAGTAATCATTTCCCAAAAGTTAATTACTTTTAACCCACAAATACTTAAAAACTAAGGTATTATCATTATTATTAGTCTTCTGCAGATTGTAAACACTTTGGCCTTTTAAATGTCACCTTTACACTTAATTTGTATATTTTGTCAATTAAGATCACTAATCATCATCAACAATTATCATTAATCTTTTCATGCAATTGATTAATTAATGGTTACAATTTATTAGCTATCAAAAAGTTATTTACTTTTATAAAAAAAAACTTGTAGACTCTTTGAAAGTTGGAAACTTTAATTTGATTGATTGATAATTGATTGGGGTTACTAACTAACTCTCAATTGGACTAATCAACGTAATTATCTATCGATAGTTAAGTTAATCATCACGATTTTTAATCAGCAAATAGTTAATCAAGAGATCAAGTTAATTGTTGCTCTTGTCTAATCGTTGAGATATTTGTTTAAAACCTTTTAACCTTTTTTGCTCTCTCTCTCTCTCTCTCTCTCTCTCTCTCTCTCTGATAATTTGATTTGATTTTAATCAATTATGATTAGATTCATGATGATGATCATTATTATCATGGTAGTTATAATAATCACGATCATGATTTGACATAATTTTCAATTCCTATGGTTAGTTAATCATTTTAACAATTATGATAACAATCAAAAGTCAATCAACTTTTTATACCCAATCATTAATTCAAAGTTGATTCAAAATGTTTCCAATGATTAAATTGATTGATTGTCTGTGTGTGTATGTGTACATATATAAATTTTCTGGTGTAACAGTTAATTAACTATCAAAGTTTCATTAGTTAGCGATATTAACAATCAATTGTTGGCTCGAATTGGGAAAAAAATTATTCTCTTAGAACTTTTTTTTCTCTCCCTCTTTGAGAATTTGAGAAAAGTGTAATTACTTATCTAGTTAACTATTAACTTTCAATTGAACTTTTTTTTTCCTCGATTTAATTTCCGTGGTTTTTGGGTGTAATTTGTAAATTGTCATCATGATTATCGTTAATAATATAATGATAACAATCTATGTTATTATATGTTAACGATTGGAGAGAAAGAGTCAACGAAATCAACTAACATCATTATCAATATGATTAAGAATAAAATTTAAAATTCGAAAATTTTTTTTCCATTCATTTTGATTCATATCGAAACCTTATTATTATTATTTTCACAATCATTAACTATTAAAGTTAATTGTCCTCATCATCAGAATCTACATCATTATCATGATTTGCTGATTTAATTATAACAATTCAAACAAAATCTTATGAAATATTGTATATTTTATCAGATCATTAAGATTAAATCAATCAATCAATTGAAAGGTTGTTGCAATGATTTAGTTTTGTGACTATTTCAATGTTTATATTAATAGTGAAAAAATTGATTCTTAAAAAAAATGAAAAATCGAGAAGCGGTAAAATTGAAAAAGTTTTGATTGATTTTTTGTTTGTTATTGGAAATTAATTTCTAATTAATTGAGCTTTTTTTTGCTAATTGTTTACATTGATCATCAACCTCAATGATGATGATTTTTAACTATTACAATTATGATTAAAAGGTAATAATCAATGAAGGAAAAGTTTTTGCTTTCCCAATTCAATAACAGGGAAAGTCAATAATTGTTGTAATAATATTAAAGGCATTTAAATTGTAATTTGTATTTAAAATATAAAGAAATATTTAATTGCCATGTTTGATAATTTTTCTTTTCTTAATTGTGATAACCAATCAATTGAGAGAGAGAGAGAGAGAGAGAGAGAGAGAGAGTATGATGATGGTTATGATTAAGAAAAATCAGAGAAGCAAAAAAAAGAGGGAAAATTAAAGCGGGAAAATGAAATCAGGGAAACAAGAATATTTTTCCAAGGGTATTGAGGGCATTAGAATTTATAGACAATTAGGACTCGATATAATGATCTGAAGATGATGATGAGCTTCTTGTTTATGTCCAGAGAAAGATAGAGAGAGAGAGAGAGAGAGAGAGAGAGAGAGAACTTATACTTTCTTTATCATCTTCATCATCTTAGGTAACCTCGAAATCCTTGGTAACTAAAAAGGTAAGAAAAAGGTTCTCCTTCCCCTTTATCTGGATCTCTTTAAATCTCTGACCAATCAAACCCCCGGTCATACCCTGAGGGCTAATCAACCTTTAACATCATTGCCTCTAATTTCCAACTAGAATCATCATCATCATCATCGTCATCATCTTACTCCACTTATGATACAGTTTCAATTGAATTTTATTCTGAGAAAATTGTTCTCAATGGAAGAAAAATTGTAATTTTCTATCATAAGGAAGGTGAATGAAATGAGATAACCATGAAAAGGATAATGATGATGATGATCAAATTCCAATTATCAGCTGATTACGTTGTTCTCTCTCTCTCTCTTCAATTTTAATTATCACTGTAAACTTGTTGCAGGCTAATTGTAGCAATTTGCCTTAGTCACTGTTAACATTTTTCCATTTTATCCTTTAATTTTAATTCAATTACAATGATTAATTTTTCTTTCTAATTTTTTAAGGCTCTCTAATTTACCTTATGATGATGATGATGATGAGGCTTAATTGTCACAATTGATTGTAAATATGAATATAAGGGATTATAACTCAAATTCACCCTTGAGCAATTAGTGAACAAGAGGGAAATCAGGATCATTATCCAGATTCAGCCTTGAATAAATTATACTAAAACTGATTAACACTCATATCGATTGGATATCAATTATAATCATGATGAATTTCACAATTTCCACCTGGTTAGTTCACCTCCCACAGCCTTGACCATCACCACCACCACCACCTCCTCCTACCCACATGATATTCATAATTCATTGGAATTGGAATTGGAATTGGAATGAGAATAAATAAAAAAAGTTTTTTTTTCTCTCAAACTTTTCTTTGC